ATCTAGTCCAGCCGAAGCTTGGAAGATTTGAATATGCCTTTCCCCCATTCCGTGTCTCGAATACGCAGACTTCCGCCGAGACGGGGAAAGTAACGCTCTTAGTTCTCTTTAATCGACGAGAGACATGTAATGCTTTCGTCTGATACTCCAATTCTCATAGACCACCCCCACATGGACTAGGCGGTGGCACGCGGGTGCTTTGGGGGCTTTCGAAGTATTCGTACGGATATCTCTTCAGCCCCTCGTCAAGTTATACACTGCCTTGGGTTCCAACTCGCATCGCGAGTCACACGCCCTGCATCGCGATATCTGCATCTCTTGGGGCTCACAAACTTTGTGAGCACTATCTCTTCAGCCGGGGCCTGCTTTCGTAACTATTGCCTCGGTCTCGCAGGGAGACTCAAGCAACAAACCTCGGTTTGGCAAAATCTGGGACACCCCCAGGTGAGAGTGTTGTATATCTCATGAACGACCCTGCAAAAAGATGATATGAAATCACCTCCTTGGCCAATCAGTAATTGACTGGGTTCCGTATTCATGCAGATGGTGATGAGGGAGACGCAGAAAGATGGAGGCAGGTACGAGTAGACGTGTCAGTTGTGTGACTGAGCGTAGCTGCAAGCTTTGCCCCATGAATCCCACTCGCCGCTTGGCTATTATTTTTCATATCGGCCCCTGTCAGATGCTTGGGACCGCACGTCCGTTGCGATGGGCGTGTATCCGTATGGACTCTCCGTATGATGTTGGAAAGATCTCCCACGAGGGTTGTCCAGATTCGTGCGAGGGTAGAGCGGGCATGCTGCCGAAGAGGTTATCCCAGAGCATCGCGGCAGACGAAAAATGGCGTGATAGCTTGGGGGGTTCAGGGCGGTGACGAGCTAGTCGTTGGCAGGGTCGTATAGCAGAGGACGTGCGCCGCAGGAGCAGTCCAGGCCCCCTGGGTGACAGACTTGGGATGGGCGGAAGACGATCTCTGCGGAAGCAGAATTCCAGAGCCTGAGTTGGCGGAGGCCTGGATGAGATGTGGATACACCCACTGGCAGACCTGGGTCCCTCGAACACTCCAACAAGGGAGATCCACGGTAGAGAAGGGGTGTTCCCTTCCAGGCGGAAGGAACAAAGATGACTGGCAGCAGGGCCTATCAACATCGGAATGCTGGGCAACGTAGAGGGCTGGTCTGGTCCGAACTGAAGCGGTGCTGAGCGAACTCCTTGAGCACGGTTGCCGATATCAAAGTACATCCGTAGGTAGTAGCCCGTGACACAGATGATTGTGCCTGAGGAATGTATAGTCTCTAGTCAAGACCCGAGACCTAAAAGAAGCTTGCAATTTGCGACGCCGTTAGTTCATTCTGAAATGAAAGAGAGTGTGAAACGGTCAGTCGAATGCGTGTGGCTGACGCCGATGCTGACGGGGCACCGGCTTCGCTGCGTGAAAGCCATTGGCCGAGCCAGTCGTTCCTGCATAGGGGCGGAACCTGCATGAAGGTACGGATACCCCTATATTTGGTGAGTGCTAAGATTCCTCTCCCCCCAGACAATGGCGGGCCTCTGGAGCTCGTGGAAGATGAATCCCAGCTCGGCGCAACCGTGATTACCAGGTGAAGAATCTTCGTCCCATCATTGTATTGCGGAATACTGGCCGTATTCCATGTCTACTCTGCAATGAGGGCATGATACGTTGATCCTGAATCTGGACGGATATGCGACAAGTCGGTGGGCGGAGGCAAGAATTAGAACACGGTTGACGATGAACCGTAAAAATGGCCCAAGGGAAAGACCAGGAAGCTGCATGCAAAGGGCTGCCAGGCCGTATGGCGCGCGCTGTGGAGAATAGACCGTTTTCTGAAAGGTTTCCTGTTCTCGCTCCTCATCTCTTCGTGTGAGGCAACGCAGGCGACAGGTGAGATTCAACGGTTTAATTAGCAGGCATTGCTTCTGAAGACCAGGACTAGGACCGGCAATGAGCTGATGATTCCGATATGGCGATCCTTGGGCAATTGGTTCTCCGGACGGGTGCAGCATCTCCTTGCTATGGTTCGGGTCGACATGAACGGCGTAAAGTTTGCTGTTGAGACCGGGTGCCGGAGTTGCGTCCACCTCAAGCTAATGCACGCCCTTTCACACAGTAGAGGCGAACGCATGGTCTGTGGCAGTGGCCGTCGCAGATCGGGCAGTGTTTCGATAGCAGTGCAAAGCCACAGTTGCACTCTACGGGTGTGACTGATGTGAAGTTTGAGAGGTGATTGACAAATGCCATGTCATGTATGTGATGGCAAATGTTGTCGAGACGTCTCGGACAGTGGAAACGTGAACGAGACCCATGGCGAGCAGCGAATATCGACGCCATTGGAACATGTATCGTGCCTATAGAGCCAAAAGCATGTGAGGTTTATGGGGATCTGCTCTTGTCGGGTGTGAATAGATGGACAGGTGCCAGGCTCCAAGCATTGCCGTACTCTACAAGTAGATCACGTAAAACTGTCGCATATACGCATCTCAGTTGGAAGAGACAGTCGTGGAGTCTAGAAGAGAGGGGTATAGATCCGAGTCGAGAGCGAGTAGTCGCGGAGGTCTGTTCGCGGCTCCTGTTCCCCAAGACCGATCGGGATGTGCGTGGTGTCAAGTCTCGAGGGATCAATTTTCTGCTCGCCACGTTCCTGGTCTCCGACGATGATAGTGAAAGAGCTAACCATGACGGGGCGCTACAGCCGAGATGACGAACGGAGAGCATTCGCCTTCTTTGGCAGCGTCGACGACTCCCAAGTGGACATTGGTTGACTCGTTCTTGGTGGTGTTTGGCCAGGCGGTGTCCGTATCTTGGGCATCTCGGATGATGGATCATTGTCTGTCACTAGCGGGTCTGGTTATTTTCAGGACACGGCACGGCACAGTGGTGGGCCTCGCCAATGCAGTGAATAGACAGTCATCAAAGATGGAGAGGGATGGTCTGCAGTCTGCCCCGAGCAGAGGGAGAGAGGATGGTGTCCGCATCGGTTACGGAGATGGTGGATTGGTGGTGGTGGTGGTGGTGGTGTGTGAGGTTGTCGAGTAGTGTTCATAGTTGGGGAATCCGGTCGTTCCCATCACGTTGGTGGCCTCGGGGAAGAAGCCGCTGGTTGCCTGCTCAATGCAAGAAGAGGATGAGGGGGGTTCCGTGGCAAGCACTGCCTTGGGAAGCTGCGTCTAACAGAGTTCCTACCTCAGGTAGCGCAGGCCTAGTCAAACCTGCGCGGAATACGGAGTAAGATCACATCCTTCCTCTTAGCTTGATAATGGCCGGGGATGCCTCTACTGAGAGTAACCGCGACGGCTTACATCTCTTTCCCAATTTACCTGTGTACAGAATGCAAGGCAGGTGTCGAGCCCATTTAGGTAAGTAGGCCCAAGGGGCCTGACATGACGAGACCTGTCTACCGTAACTCAGGTACCTTAGGTAATAAGGTAGGTGCTCCGTACTTACTCTAGGTATCTGTACAGCTCACAGTACGTACCTTCCTCACAGAAATGTTCCGGAGGTAAGGTAAGTCGAGGCAGATAAGTCAGCCGGTGATGAAGATGACGGGACTCAACGACGAGAAACTTAAACATGTCCATAAAAAAGATACGTCCCGTTTCGGCTCCGTTTCAGATCAAGTGATTCTGCGGGGTCTGCTCATTGGCCCGCCGGATTCTGGAACGAGTGGGAGCTCACCGGTGCTCCGCCCCAGTCCCCCCCGACTGCAGCCTGCACTCTGCAGCATCTCTCACGCAGTTGAGCCACCAATCTTCAAGCTCGCAAGCAGGCCAGCGGTGGCTGGGAAAGTCAAGGGGGGGACGGGACCCCGAGTGGAATCATGGTGATGATAGAGAGGTCAGTACGGACACTAACCTCGTTCTTGAATTTCCTATTCTATTCTTTCCAAACGAATAGAACCATCCGTGACAAGGCCACCAAGCACTAGTGTCCACGGAAGAAAGAAGACCAATCCAACATCCATCCAGGTCATTTCACAAAGTGTTAGTCAAACCAACTTCAGGGCAGCTGAACCACCAGGCTTCCAGCTCCTCTCCCCAGCAGAGTTGCTGTTTTACGCAGTACACTAGCAGCAGCCACATGGGGCTTTCGAAGGCCGAACCTAGAATAGGTCCCACGTTTTATCCCGGACGATCATCATTCCCACGTGAGGGCTGGTGGCTAATGTCCTCTCCGGTTCCTTCTTTTTTGCTTGCTCATGATGCTCCTCTTCCTCATTTGGGACTTGATCCTAGACCCCACGATGATCCTGTCAACTCTTGACCCGAACAATTGCCACCCAAGACTGAAACGAAAGGTAGCGGTGATTGGCATTGCAAGATGATTCAACCCCCGTTTGTAATAAGTGGCAAGTCTAGCAGGTGTTGATGGTGTGAGCCAGCCACACCAACCTGCATCCAGGATGCCCAAGTAAGGTCGAGCCACTAATATCCTACGCAGGCATCATTGTATACACATTCTACCTAGGTGATGGTGTGTGTGTCTGTTTGTGATGCCGCATGTTCTTACCGCACCTATCGCCTAACCTGAGTGAGCATGAAGCCGTGTGTATAGCAGTCTGGGTTCGTGCTGTTTTACTTGAAAGTGTGGCAATTGCGCACACTATGCCCCTCATCGCGGATGAAGTTGAAGGGACCTGCCCCTTGTAGCATGACGACCTCCATCAACTCGAGTCACCAGACCAGACCGCAAGACGGCATGTCCCGTTGCGGACTATTCACTGTATATCACCCACAACTAAGATTCTCAGGGACCAGAGTCCGAATAGTAGGCGTTGATTTGAGCCTTGCGGTTTTGTCTGCGTTCTGGGCGTTTGATGTGGTAGCCGGAGCAATTGCCATGCGACGCAAAATCAAGGAACTGCACCAGTGGGACATGCTTAGCACCTGCAGTAGTTCCCCCTCATGGATTTGTTACCCCATTGGGATGGCATGGACGTGACCGAGGCACACCTCGCCCGGTCCAATTGTCGAATTGCGTAAGAAAGTGGTACGAGACTACCGTATTGTGTTTGTTCAGCAACGACCCTAAACGATGGATTCCTTTTGAGTCTAGCCATTTTCTCCACGGGTTCTTTACCTGTTTTGACGAGAGACTGGCGAACGTACGGATAGGGTACGGCGGAAGGACCGCTAGGAACTTAGGAGTTTTTACTTTATTTTTATCCGCACTGGATTGTGTGATCCGAAGAGACGGGCTTGCATGATAGCCACTTGCAAGTACTTCGCAGGTGAGTCTGCGAAGTGGGCTGTCTCTACCGGTTGGCGAGCTGCGATTTGCTTGTCAGATGCGTTATAGTACCTATACTTCGTACAGAACTCGGGACTGAAGATTGGACGCAATTGGTGATTGAGTCCATGTAGAATGCAACCCCCACAATCGGCCGGTGGCACGGGCAGGAAGCCAGCCAGGTACGCCTAACACATCAGAACAGGGCCGGGAAACAAGCAGAGCCAGGCCAGGCATGTTAGCCACATTTCGTCAGCATCTTGGTCGCAGATCACTCACTTGCGACTCAGTGAAGTGACAGTTTTTCTCTGGGCCCCCTTTTTCCCAACTCTCTTCGTCCCAGGACCGTGAGGAAGCGGTGCGGGTCTGTGCGCAATGTTAGAGGCAAGCCATAAACTGGAGAAGAGGAAGTGGTGGTGGATGATGGTCTCAGTCCACAAGCCATGGAGACGGGACGGGAACAGGTGGATGAGGGAGAAGAAATGGACAATCACCGCATGGTAAGGAGTACAGTATTGAGCCAGAGTCGGACGTAATGTGGTTGAAAAACTCGACTATCTGACGATACATGATGCAGGTAGACAATCGAGAGGGGCTCTTGGTAGCATTCGGGAATTTCTTGTCTGATCTGAGAGGGTCCAGGGGCATGGCATGCAATGTGGAGGATTGCTGCTGCTGCTGCTGCTACTGCTGCACAACGCCACATGAGGAGAGCCACAAGTGGCGTCTGCAGTTTATCACAAAGACGGTCAAGAGGATTGTAGAGGAAGTAGTAACACAAGCTAGCCCGCCTGCATTTGTTTCGAACCAAATGTTGACAAGATTTGGTTCAGTGACACTCTGAGGGCTTTTTCTGGTGATGCAAGTCGACGAAATACTTTGTAGATGCGTGGAGGCGTTGCAGTCTTCAAAACATGTGGGGTCGATTGGAAGACCATCATTTGCTCAGTCACATTTGAGGGTGTTGGGAAAGCGTGGGAAAGCGTGGGAAAGCGTGGGAGGGTTGGGGTTGCCCGAGGGCGGTGAGGCACCGAGGTGCAATGTGCAATGTGCTCTTGCCGTGCTTGCCTCGATGATGGTCGCCTTGCTGCAAGGAACCGAGGGAAAGAGAGACACTGGCCCTTTTCGGCCCAATGTGGGACAGGAACGATATCGATCACCGATGGATTGACCACTAAGAAGAGGGTGGGCACGGCTCAGGGACGGGTCATTGCGGGGAAGTCGCGAGCCACAATAGGGCAAAAGCGAAAAAGGCAAGAGGGAAAAGGAAGGCATGTAAGTCAGACTTCTCTCCCACCGGCACTCGAAGAGAACGTGGCAGATCTTGTGATGACGATGGCGTTTCTGTTGATGCAGGTGGTTCCCAAAAGATATCTTTCAGAAGACTGGACGCAACGACACACGGAAGGATACGAAATAGTAAAAGGGAGGAGCATTATCACTGTCAAGCGCAAGACTCTTGTAGGTGCGGTTAAGATAATGAAGCCGTGCCTTCCCTCCACGGCGTCAAGAGGTGGTGACTTCCTACCTGCCTTCGGTTCCTTGCAGCGCAGCCATTTCGGAGCTAGAAGGCAAGAACGATAATGGGGGTCTTGCTGAGGCAAGAAGTTGACTCAGTCTCGTAGTGTCATGAGCCACATCCAAATATCAACAACGTCCGTCTTATTGTAATTACATCTTTAATCCCGGAGAGAAGACGATGCACATACACCACAGGAAACACGAGGGACGACCATGATGCTTGTCTTCCCCCCCTCTATTGCCACGTTTTTTTTTTTTGGCCCCAAAACGTACGTGCAAGCCGCCAAATCCCTGGCTTCTTTCCCGTGTCTAGACCAACTTACCCTCCCGCTTCCCGCCTCCACCCGTCAACACGCAACCGTCAACGAACATCGCGAACTTCGTAGAGCGGCAATATTTCGTACACGACCCGGCGACGCTCAACATCGGCCCCTCCGCCCGTGCACCACCACCTTGTGCCCACCGCTCTTTACGTCTCCAACTCAATTGATCGACAACCCTTTTCATTACGCATAAGAGTACCATCCCAGGAACAGCTATCCCACCCCACCCCACCTACTCGCCCTCGGGTCCTCACCGTGTTATTGACGATGGAGTGGAAGAGCGTCTTTTCTCGCACTGAAGTCTGTAGCTGCCAGGTTGTCAAGCGATGCGTGTTACAGTACACTTCACCATCTACGGATACACTCCACTTCGTCGCCTAGTACACACCCTTCTCGAGCAAAGGCCGCTTCGTCTACTTCGCTATCGGGCTGTGGGTGGTACATTGGAGGCCATCGCTGAGACCTCTAGATGTTTGTACCTCCTTCTCGCGCCATTCAAGCCTCTTTGCGTGGCGGAGCCGGCCGGCCGGGGCCGTTCTTGCCGTGACGTCTGGTCTGATAGCATGGTGTACCAAAAGAAGTACTTCTTGGGCCGCTATGTCTGCCACACCACCATCCCATGTCCGAACTGCCCTATCGATAGCAGTGAGACCCAAGAGCCTCATGACGAGAGAGTACGGATACGCATCAACGGCACAAAACAATATGGCATGGTTTCTGGCAGGCGAGAAAATATCATTTTGCGAATAGGGTGCAGGTCAACGGTACTGGGTCATCTTCAACAGTCGTGGGGGCTTCGGCGACGATATCCTGCCTTCGCACTCTTTGCCCTGCTGACTCGGTTGCGACTGACGTGCATGGCACTCTCCAATGGCCCAGTTTTGGCCAAGGCCCTCTCAGCTCTCCACCAGCGACTGCTCCGGCTCCGAAGTATGGTTCCCCGGCACCTCTTCGTCGAATCCCGCATTGCGCTATCATCCTTGTCCACTAGGGTCGGCCTGCTACTCAAAGCCCCGACCTCAGGACTTCTTACGGATGGACTCATGGAGGACCTAACCTGCAAGGAACTGCCAATGGGCTCCATCGGAACGGGGCCTTAGTATGCCACCGACTCCTGTCAGGAGAGCGAGGCCGCGATGTGTAGCCAGGGTTGATAAGGCAGGCCACCACCGGGCGAAGAAGGGCCGCCATTGGTGAGCCGCTCCTCTGCGACCTATCAAAGCCCATCGCCTCACACCACCCACCTTCTGCGCACGGGCACCTACCCGTACTGTCGAAAATCTACTGTAGGACGACTCTCGATTCGTCTCAGACAAGTAGCTGTCGCCTGCGACTTCTCAGATGCAGATCCAACGCACGACGGAAAACACGAACAGGGGAAACGACGAGTCTGAGCCGCTGTTTGCGCCAACATATCTGACTGGGCATAGCATGCTTTTGTGGCTGGTCGACGAAGTCACTCTGACCTGATAGTGCTTATCTGAGGCTTCCAATCTCAAGAGTAGCCGCGATTTGATAAGCCGCCTCTTCTCTCCCGACTTCTGAGGGAGATTATGATTATCAAACCTATCGTGAGCAGCCGGCAAGCCGTTGGGGCGTTCAATCCCCAAAACTGCTGCGCTTGGCCTATCAGAGTTCGTCTTCGAGACTGGTGACTGGCGGACTTTGCAATTTCAGAGAGGGAGAAGACGAGAAAACCCAAGCACAGAGCAGTGGATGTACGAAAAGACACTGGGACAGGCCAGACAGCCCCGTTATGGCCCGTGCAACCTTAACGCCCACTCAGCGGCGGGATGTGGCCGCGGTGACAGGCAGTCTACCATGGGGGTTTTCGGCAGCAGACGAAAAAAGCAATGTGAGGCTTAATCAAAAGGTTGGGATAAACGCACGAATCCATTCTCCAAGCGGCGTAGGTTAGAAATCGCTGACGTGCGATTACGACCACACCAGTTTGCGACTGAGTCTCGCACAATCCATCAGCAGCCGCTTTGATGCCGCTTAGTACGCAACTCGTTGGCAAACCAAGACCGAGGGCATGAATGAGAGGTTCCCAAACGAGCACCAAATCTGACTTATCATTGGTGGCCAGGATATGACAGCCTTTGCCCAATCCAGAGACCTACAAGTAGAGTCTGGGGTAACTCTAAGGCATCGAAGCTTGAACCAAAACGGACCGAACGACATGATGATCCGCAGATTCAGATGGCTTCCCACTAACGACAACGATTAAATGAGGCCATCCAAAGTACGTGAAGGTTAGCCCAGGGCAATGGAATGCGACACAAGGGAACTGCGACAGGCGATGGATGGCGTTGTTAGGGCTGCCAGCCTAGCCTTCAAGCTCACCCCTGAGAAATTGGCATTTGAGTTCAAGACCCATGGACTTGCAACTTGCGAAAAGTGGTCAGCTTGACCATGACATGTCCAAACAATCAGCCCGACTTTCAACACGCATCCGCCGTTGTTCAAGCCTTTGCAGATTACATGCCGTAGTCGGCCTACATGGACCCCTTTTTTCCCAGGTTTGCCACGTCTAGAGAGGCGCAAGCTACAGGGGATATCCGCACTGATCGAGTCAAGCTCTGAATACACCACACTCGCGAGCTGCTTGACGAAATCACGGCATCTCCATTATCAGACCCTCCACGAAGCAAGCCCCTGTTCGGAACACCACTTCGGATGCGAGCCGGTGTGAGAGACGGTCTGCTTAAGGTGTGGAGGGTTCAAAGGTCATGCCAATGCCCCCCTTGCACGTCCTTGAGGAGGGTGGAAGGCCGCGCTGGCCCAAGTGAAAACATAGCTGCCGTGGGGCCCTGCCTGGGCATTGAGGATGATTGACAAATAGCATGGATTCCCCTGCCTCACATTGGTGAAGAATTTCGCGCGGCGCGGGACGGTTGCAACCGCTCCAAGTTGTTTATTCCACCTCCAACAATTTGTCCATTGCTCCCTGCTGAGCACTCGAAGACTTAACGAGAGACAGTTTTGGTGGTTCAGGGTTTGCTGCTGGATGTTTGACCGAATTAATACAAAGGACAGAGACAATCGCGACATAAAATTGAATTTGAAATCGAATACGCAGGAGTCGTAGGGAGGCTTTGACCAACGACCCCTCCTCTCGTCCGCCGAGAGCTTTTACTAAAGCTATACAAAGTATCGTTCGCATTCAGTCACACTGGCCAAGGTCCATTAGACATCGAATCATTAACAATTCATTTGCGTGCGCCGAGAGACTTCTCATACAGCCAGAGGACATCAATCGTACTTACACTCGCTGTATGTATTTGTTAAATTTCGAACTTGTGGCGATGATGATATAGGCTAGACCCTACTGGCGACCTGTTGCGATTCTGCAAGCTGGCAGCGATGCCTTGTCTTGGGGAGACGGGAGTTATTCGTTCCGATTCGTGACAGCATCTTGAGCCAAAGAGGGGGGATGGCAATTTTCATCTGACAGGGGCCGAATAGAGGTAAATCCCACAATGACCTTACTACCGTACTTCTGTTTTGCTCCTCTCGTGGACTTCATGGAGAAGAGCTCCAACGACTCCTACCCCCTGGAAGACGTTGAGGCAGTGTGTCAGTGTGAGGAGGGCTAAATCCTAGGGTGGCTAACAAAACAGGTCCATTCGGAGCTGCACTCTTGAAACAATGCGGGCCATTTGCAGCATTTTCCGGTGCCCGGCGGCGCATGAGTAGTCACCGCGATAGACGATGACGAAGAGCACTATGGTACTTATGTCCCCCAACGTCAAGGAATAGGAATCGAGTTTGTTTCTTAGGGGCTGACAATGTCGGCAAGTCTCCAACGAACAGGGGCCTGCAACCAGACCAGCCCAGTGATAAGAGAGCTAGGGACGAGATACCAGGACGGCCAGCACCGCAGACTCAAGTGGGCAAAAAAAAACAGCGTCGGCTACGGTTGGCCTGACCCAAGCCTGGCCTGACCCAAGCCTAGACTGAGGCCTATCCATTTGCACTGCAATGGTTTGGCAGATGTAACGCCGGCATGCAGCTATCGTTGACGGCTCTTGTCGAGACCACGCGTTT